GCGGCTCCTGGTGGCCCAGACGAGAGTTGAACCTTCGCTCTACCTGCCCGTGGATTTACGTGCAGAAAGACAACGGAGCCGACGTCTACCCAAGGTAAACAAACTTCTTAATCTACATGCTCAAGGCATTTATATTGTACATATTGTTTACTTTTTTAACCTTATCATATCTCTGTTTGACCAGTCTAAACGTATTTCCCCCTAACACTTCTTTGATCTATATATTTTTTCAAAGCTTTAAAACGACATGTTTTGTATACAGCTATTGTTTCTATTGTAAGCTTTCAAACTTTATAAAAAATACAGTACGGAAGCATACAGAAGTAACTTTCTCTTACACCACATGAGTTAAAGTATGCGTGCTATGTGAAAAGGTAGGGCAAAGTTCTTTATGTAATCATATGAACTGAACGAAATTATACTTCCTCCATCTTCTTTTGCTATTCTATTTCGTAACTGCTCCAATCATTTTCTTACCAATCCGTTTAATTCACGTTCGCATTCCTTCCTTTCTTCCCCTCCAGATATGTTCGCGAGGCGAAATGTCTGTGCGACGAGTGTCTGGAAAGTACCTCAATGAGCTGCCAAAGACTGGAGGTGAACGCTACAGTTTTCAGACGGGTGGGTTGTAAGGATGGGGTCGCCCTTATGAAAAAGGAACAGATTCTGGTCAAAGTGGGATGCTACTGCGCAAGCCCAGTCAACGGTTCCGGCCCAGTCATCGATACCTCTAACGTCATTTGGAGCTAAACACAAGGTTTGAACCTGTGTCTTCCAGAACAAAAACCGGCGAGTAACGCCTGAGATTCGATGATGTTTTCCTCTTGACGAGAAGCTACAATGGTAAAAGTGTGAACGATCTGATATTCTATTTCTATCTATCTATCTATCTATCTATCTATATCTTACACTCTCCCACCCCTCATCCCATCCCTGTCCATAAGCCTGCCTTTAGTTCTGGAACTCCCTTAATCTTCTATGTATCTATTTACTCACAATACCTTTCTCAATCTTTTCAATCTTTTCTTTTTTTCCAATCTTCGTTCACATATTGTAGTCTCGTCAAGGAAATTCGTAGATCAAATTGATCTAACATTAGCACACAACGTGTGCTCTATGTGCTCGATATCTATTTCATACGTATTCTTTTTTCGTTTTCCTCTTTTTGTACATAGAATATTACCTTCATGTTTTAACCTGAATACATTCCACCTTTACTATATTTTCAAGCACAAAATAATCTGTAAAACTTATACTGTTTCATTCAGTTTGAGAGTGTTTCATTTTTATTATGCTTCTGTGGTTGCAAAACTTGGTGTTAATAACTTTCATTTTTAATTGTAGTTTTAGTTTTTGAAAAAGATACAATATGGCAGAAAACCACAATTCTTTAACTGCAAGCATCAATTATTTTCTCCGAGACATTATCCTTATAATATGATTTGAGGAAATATTAATTAATTGTTCAGAACAAGCTACAGCACAAACCCGAATTCTTCAGATTTAAAACGGACCTATGGAATCTATAACGCCTCAATAAGCTCTAAGACAGATGAGTCTCAAGAAGATATTTAATTGGTTTTAAATTATCAGTATCAAGTAGTCAAAATTTTTCAAAACAAATTATGTTTCTATGATCTCGTGATGATGCTGCTCCGTTTCGTTTATTAACATAATATCTAAATCTTTATTTTAAAACCACATACTTGTGTTCAGAGATAAGGCTTTGTTTTACCTTCCCTTTACTGTACAAATGGATTTTTACATCAATTTATTTATGGATACTTGCACGAACTATTGAAAATGTTTTTGCCTTCTTTGTAATTTTCGGATGAATGAACATTTCCTAATAATACGTAGTATTCTTTTCTGTGATTGATCTACGTTTACGTCTTTCAACATTGCCTTGATTTCTCGTCCTTTTCATGAAATACTCAACGAATAAGATATCATCCTTGCAGTATTACTTACGACTACTTTCGAATTGTTCCTGTGCATATTTAAAACATATCAGGCTAAGGTCGTTTTGACATACAGACCAGAGCCTTCCCTGTCAAACAGAGCTGTTGCATAAAATACCGGAGATAGAACTACATCACTGTAGATACTGTATAAAATGTGATGTATTCAGTTGGGGGATTTTTACATGTTATACTTGAATTACAACTGTACAATTTATATATGAGCACTCCCTCGATTGATAAATGAGCAAGTCTCCTCTGAATAGAGGGGACAAAAAGTAAAATATGCCATGTATGTGTGTTCGTTTGTGTGTGTGTGTGTGTGTGTGTGTGTGTGTGTGTGTGTGTGTGTGTGTGTGTGTGTGTGTGTGTTTGTGTGCGTTTGTGTATGAAACGCACAACATTATGTAATTGTATTGTAAATACAATGTTGATAACAAGGAGATTAGCATAATATTTGTGATGGTCTGGTGCTTTAAATAAGTCTCGTCTTGTTATGATATGTTCAATAATCCCAAGCTGCCATATCCAAAGTCACACGAGTACTCAATAACTTATTTGTCTCTCCAGAAACATAAAATTTTATTGTTTCAGTATTCTAATATTTCAGCGTTACAGAAACGCAATTCCCATGGAAATCCGTACTGCCACTCATTACAATATTTCATATTTTCTGTGTTCCCTTTGTCTTTTTATGTAAAGCAACTGATGTTTTATCCAATAATAATATTGTTTATTTATTTAAGTTGCCTCTTTGATATTGCCCTATGTAAATTTTACCTGTTGATTTTGTATTTAGTTTGCCATTCGCAGCGAACGACTGTTGTTATAATGTTATTTATTTGACCAGATTTGGTCTCAAATAATGCTTTTATGAAATAAAATAATTTAAATTTGGAGAAAAAAAAAATTCTGTATTTTTCTTTACTTTCACTGTCTTACTTATTGACAAACAGACGAATTGATAGGTAAAGAAACATACACTGTATTTACGTGCACACTCTCTCAGGTAGGCACACCATGTACACACTTATCAAATACCTACACACTCATACACACAGACACAGACACACACACACATACACACACAGACACACACATACACACACTCACAAAGATAAATATTGAAGGAGAGACAATGTGAGAAAATGAGAGTGAGAGAAAGAGAGAGAAGAAAAGATGTAGAGAGGGAGAGAGAGAGGGAGAGAGAGAGAGAGGGAGAGAGAGAGAGAGAGAGAGAGAGAGAGAGAGAGAGAGAGAGAGAGAGAGGGAGGGAGGGACAGACACCAAGGCTGAGAGGACAAGAATACCCTCTGCACAGATTCAGATACTCGCTATCTCTTGGTGTCGCATACAAGTGCTCGGTACAAAGTTCATTCAGGAGGGCCTCAGAAAACTCCACCGTGGTTAAAAAAGAAGCATGTGTGTGCATGTGCGTGTGTATGTGTATGTGTGTGTGTGTGTGTGTGTGTGTTTGTGTGTGTGTGTGTGTGTGTGTGTGTGTATGCGTAAGTGTGTGTGTGAGTGTATGTGCGTGTATGTATGTGAGTCAGTGTTTGCGTGTGTTCTTTCCCTACTAGATAAAGGCTCTCATTTATATATATATATATATATAAAGGAGCAAAAGGTGAGATTAAACAATTGTAACTAATAATAGTCCAAAACTTCACAAGACAAAAAAAAAGCCCAAATAAGACTGAAAATGTTATTGGCGCAAAGTGATCTAAGACTACTGTTTCATTGTGTCAAAATGGTCCAAGACTACTATTTTATTGTCTCAAAAAAGGCCAAAGACTATGCTATTTATTGTCTGAAAAAAATGCCTAAAACTAATATTTCATTGTCTCCAAAACATCTTTGGACTTATATTTTATGTCAAGCGATATTCCACACTTAGTAGAAAAGGCCTGCTGCTGTCGTGTAGTTAGTCACAAACTTGCTCAGGTCCTCAATCATTTATAAGATGCTTTTTCACACGTTTTGGTCCCCGCACTGTACCTAGAAACAGACACACACGCACCCGAACAATTATCACTCATTTATCTATAAACAGTTAGTAAGAGTTTGATTGGCTTTTTGAAAAGAACCAAGTTGTGCCTTTTAAATGCGAAACCATGGATCTGTTCTACCCCCCCCCCCAACCGCCCCCAAACACACACCTGCCGCACCCCGCCCAGCCTCCACCTTTATAAAGATTCTTAAATATAGGTTTATCTCTCAAGTTAACACTAAGGCTTGTACATTTGCGTAAACGAGTTTACACTGCTTGTGATATTGTTCATCCTAGATAGAACCAAATCGAATGTGTCTGAAGTCAGGAAAGGAGGATTCGAACCCGGGTCACGAGAAAACATTGTTTCCAATCATGATGTCAATAGCCCTATCAGTTCAAAGGTATCTTACTAGATCTAACAAAATTTGTTTTAACCGTTTCAGTTTCGACTTTAAGTCTAAAGTTGGGAGCGTCTTCAAAAATACAAGTTTCTTTTCTGACCATCAATAATTCGTTTATAGAGGAACCAGCCACCCATGGAAAGGAGCTGTTTTAGCCACAAGTTTCACACTTGGCTGCTTTGCAGGCGACCATAGTTCGAATCTTGACTAAATAACAGATTTTAAAACTTATGTTGGGAATTATTTTTTCCATATTCATTGAAACGTGTGTGGGTTCCTTTCTGACATGGACGTCAGAGCAAAGGTCCTAACTTAAAAAAAATCGATAGTGGATGAGTGGGGGAGTTATTGTATTAGCTAAACAGTACATCGTATAACGATACTGTCTTGAAAACTTCGTAAACAAAATATATTTATTGTTACTTGGGTAATTAGTTTGACCAAAGTTTGAAAAGAAAATTCCACCACCATCTACTTACATTTATTTTGATCCTTTTCCTTGAGAGGGTTGCCTTGAAACTGCCTGTTAGAGGAAACCTATAGTGTATGGAATACATCACATCTGAATCATGGAAATATAAACCACCATCAGTGAGTGGGAATCAAACTTATGAATTTTGAGTTCGGGTCAAAAAGACTAGCCCTAACACGAACTCTTTTAAGCCAGACAGCGGTTTACCAAGGCCTCCGTGTACAATAAGACATGGGTTAATACAATACAGAAAGAAGTGTAATTATAATTGTATTAGTGTTTTACGTGCCCCCCATCTCCTCTATTAAAGCTAATCATTCAGGAGCTGGACTTCTTTGACCCCAACTGTCGAGACCAACCCAGACTGAAGAGGACACAACGTTCCTGGAAATACACGGATATACATGACAAAAATTAGTCTCAACTCGAGAATCGAACTCAAGTCATCTGCGCGGACCACCACAATTAATGCCGGTATAAAGCAAAACAACTTTAGAATAAGCATGTCTATAACGTATCTACATGAGACAAATGCAAACCGTTACTGCAATAACTGTAAATGCTGTTTTACTTCCTCATCAACAAAATTGTAATCGTTCAAAAAGGGAATACAACAACCCCGCACACCTCGGACCAACCGTGACTGAGATCGGGATATAACATCCCAGTATACATAATATGGGCGTATTGAATGTTTAAAAAACCCTCCCAACACGGGAATCGAACTATTCCCCCACACCTCCTACCCGTCAGCCAATCGTAAGCTCAGATTAACAAACGAGGATGTGCCAAAAATAACTCTCCTAATCAACCACGGATCTCCCTCGCCGTGTGACGTTCCGCCAACACGTTCGCCGGGACTATAAATTCGTGGTGTTTCCGACCTTGTCAGCACTAAGGACAGAAACGGGGAACCAGTCACAACAAAATTAAGAACATCTTGTCTCTGTTTAGCAGCTTTAACTACAATCTAGAACTTTTAAACCAGCATTTATTGTTGAGGCTTTCTTTCTCTAACCAAGACGTAGAAGAAAAACAAGGAATTTCTTTGTTTTAACGTGAAGGATTTGTAAAATCTCAAATTAATCGTAGAAAACTTCAGAAAATAAAAACTTTCTGGGATCAAGACTTCATAAAAAAAAGACCATCAGACAGAGCTGAATAAATTAGCAAGAAAGTGCGAGAAGACTGATCGTCATTTTCCAAGACTACAAGAGTAACAAACAGTCCAGTAAAAACAAAACAAAACAAAGATGAAAATCTCAATGTTCTTGAAGAAAAACATGACCATCCAAATGCTAGCAGTACTCGCTGTACAGTTGTTTTTCTGTGAGGCCAAACCTCACATCATCGGGGGTTCTGTCAATCTGGCTTTGTCAGAGGACGACGGACACAACTCCAGGTTTGGCGCTCTCAAACCTCCCAGATGGCTCAACTCAATCATGTCTTCTTCCGCCCTCCGAAGTGTTGACGAACACAACAACGGGATTTCTTCCTCCATTTCTTCTGTCGTCGATTCATCTTCAGACGATGTCTTCAGCCGTATCCGATCCCCTGGGGAACCTTTAGGTCCAATCTTCCTCCACAACGAAGACCCGTCAACCTCTTCCTCCTCCTCCTCACTCGTCCACACATCGTCAGATTTGAACCCCTTCCTCCGCGCCAAACGTGATGTCGACACCAGCTGCCCGCTCCCAGAAGACATGCCCCAGCAAGTGAGAGACCTCAACAACTTCTTGGAAGCTGACCAGTTTATCCGACTGGAACCCGAACAGCCTGAGGTTGAAGCTATCCCGACAGACCAGCCCCCAGCTGACCAGTGTCCAGCCTCTAGCGGCTCCTGGTGGCCCAGACGAGAGTTGAACCTTCGCTCTACCTGCCCGTGGATTTACGTGCAGAAAGACAACGGAGCCGACGTCTACCCAAGGTAAACACACTTCTTAATCAACATGGTCAGGACATTCAGTAATTTTTAACAAATAATTTATTGCTAACAGTTTCTATATTAATACATCTTTATTTGATTTGTTTAGCTAATGATACATCTATTTATCTGTGGGTTTTTTTTTTCAAAACACATCATTATAATAAAAGACGGAATCATACAGAACTAACTATTTTTATATACACGTGGTTGAATAAAGGTGTTGTCTGAAAATAAAGGGCAAAGTTCTTTTATGCAATCATACCAACTAAACTTAACTTCCTCTCTCTATTGCTCTGTTAATACTTACTTTCTTCATTCACCAAAATGTTAAATTCACTTCCGCATTCCTTCCTTTCTTCCCTTCAGATACATTCGTGAGGCGAAATGTCTGTGCCTTGAATGTCTGAAAAGTACCTCAATGAGCTGCCAAAGACTGGAGGTGAACGCTACAGTTTTCAGACGCATGGGTTGTAAGGATGGGGTCGCTCTCATGAAAAAGGAACAGATTCTGGTCAAAGTGGGATGCTACTGCGCAAGCCCAGTCAACGGTTCCGGCCCAGTCATAGATACCTCTGACTTCCCTTGGAGCTAAACACAAGGTTTGAACCTGTGTCTTCCAGAACGAAAACCGGCGAGTAACGCCTGAGATTCGATGATGTTTTCCTCTTGATGAGAAGCTACAATGGTAAAAATGTGAACGATCTATCTATCTATCTATCTATCTATCTATCTATCTATCTATCTATCTATCTATCTGTCTATCTATCTATCTATTTTTCCAATCTTCGCTCACATATTATAGTCTCACCAAGATAATTTGTAGATCAAATTGATCTAGATAAGCGTACAAAGTGTGCTCTGTGTGTTGATTTTTTACATGTGTGCTTGTTTGTTGGTTGTTTTTTGTTGTTTTTTTTGCTTTTTGTACATAGGAGATTACTTTTTGAATCTTATAATTTAACCTCCACATATTCCACACAGTAAATTTTACTATGTTTTCAAGCACAAAGTCATCTTTAAAATTGATAACGGTGAATTTCACTCGCTCCGAGCGTTATCTTTTTTATTGTCCTGTTGTTGTGAATCATGAAGTCAATAGCCTTACTTCAAAGAATAG